TCAAAATAGCCTCCCGTTAGGAGGCCTCCTGGCCGAAATGGCCACGGCCATTCAGAGACATGATTCGTAGCAGGTACCTTCGATACCTGTACTGGGCACGACACCTTCGATGTCTAAGGGTATATTTAGCGAGCTAGCATACACTGTCGTACCGAAGGCACGATTGCGGAGAGCGGAGCCGACCGGGGAGCAACCCTGCACATACATATATAAAACGAGAAAAAACATATGTATGTATGTATATATATATATGTATAGATATATATATAGATATATATAGATATATATAGATATATATATATACATATATATATATATATGGTCGCCCCCCGCGTTGACAGACCATGCCCTTTAAATCAGGCATGATCTGTCAACGGATGGGTGACAATCACCTCTTCTAAATTCAATTCCGAAATTGCCGCCAAAATTTCCAGCATCCACCCGAATCTTCAAGGTGCAAAACTCCGGATCGCCTCTTCACTCGACCGCGGGGTTCATGGAGTAGCGAGACTGCTGAGACGCAAAAACGTCGGAGCCGACGTTGGCGTAGAGCTGCTGGCCGCCGCTTCGATCGCAGGCCCAGCCCAGTCTCTTCCACCCTGACCGTGCATGCTGATCCTCTCGAACTCGATGGTCTCACGAGCTTGCCGCACCTCGGAGAACACCTTGGGCGTGATGGCAGCCGAGGTTGGCTAAAAGCGCATGTCAGTTTTTATGCGATCGCGTCCGCCTCGGTGAACTGGCCCTCCGGATCACCTGGATCTCTGACACCCGCTGACATCGTACGGTTGAGCAGATGTTGGGATTCCTGGACCGAGAGGTCAGAGTCCGATCGAACACCCAGTGGAACAGGACCTCATTGCCGTTGAAGACCTGCGCCTGCACATCCACATAGGTGGCCGAGGTGTCAAACATGACCGGCCATGTGAACGGCTGAAAGGCCGAGTGGGACAACGCCCACTTGGTAGGAGTCCCACGAGCACATGGGCCCCGGGTCCTCCACAACATGGTGAACACCAAGACCACCTTGATGCTTGTAGTTCGCGAACCGGGAGCAGTGGTAGCCGGAGTTCGGCGGCATCACCAGATCTCGCTCCGTCAGCACATTGATCGAGCTCGCAGCATTGGCCTTGCCTTGAACTGGAACGGGCTGATCAGCCGCTCAGATCGAAGTGCGAGTGGGATCTGCCTCCTCGACCACTGCCCACTCCACGAAGTCCGGCTTCTGGACTGCGAAGGGGTTGTGGGTAGCCGGAGCTGCTCGACCGCCTCTCCGGCGAGGATCGTCGCGGTTCCATCCGCTTCCCCAGTCCCCAGAGGCTGCTGATCCGAGCTGCGGAATGGACCAGCTGGAGGGAGCGACATCTGTTCCCCACGCCGACGATCGAAAATCCGGGCCGATCGGCTGATCGCCAAAATGGCCACGGTAACAGTGATCACGGCTGTTCTTACGATCTGTAAACCGAATATTGATGTATGTAACATACGTATGTATGTATGTGTGTATATACATATATATATATATACATATGTACACACACATACGGACAGGTAACGTTCCTTCTAGCTATTTTCTTTGCGTAGCTTTGCGCTGAGTTTCTGGCCTGCTCCTCCCGCTGTTGCTGCACCTGGCTTCGACAGTACCGAAGGCCACTAAACGGCTTTCCTTGCAAGTGTAGGCTTCCACTCAAATCCTTATGTCTCGCACTCCTCCGAACTCCAACAGACCGAATCATGCCTGCCACACTGGCACACAGGTTAAGACGTCCAGGCCAAAAAAGCAAGGCTGCGCACTCAACCCAAGCTTGTTGGGGCAGGGCTAGGGTGGGCAATCAAAGCAGGGCAAGGCACCTCGGCATTTGCACCATTGGCCGAATGCAGCGATGCCAGCTCCTCGAGTTGCGCTTTGTTGGACTCGCTCCATCAAACGAAAAACTGACATTGAGTGCAAAGTTTATTGTACGACACCGGGTTTAATGCCTGTCGAGTCATGTAAGACTTCCGGAAGTTTTGAGGCGGCGGAGTCTTCCAGCATGTCATCAGGCACGGCGACAAAATCAGTGCTGTTCCACCGTGCCCACTTTGACACCAGGCGAAATGGCTCGCTCCTCCTTGATGCGCAGCAACTCCTGGTCACGTTGTTGACGCTGTGCCTGCACGGTCGTAGCGTCAGGAAGGTTCTGTACAACAGCACATGCTCTGCGTGCCCAACATCTCAGGTGCGCCTCTTGGAGGTCCAGAAGTCGCTGCTCTCGCGCCTGGTATTCCTGACCAGTGACAGGAGCAGAGAGAAGGAGGGGCTTGGGCTGAGCTTGGGCTGAGCTTGGGCTGGGCCATTGGCCTGGTGGAGGCGCTCCTCACGGCCTGCGCTGCTCAGACGGCCGCCTGATCGCCCGCCCCTTGTAAGACCCGCACCTCGCAGCTGCTCCTCTCGCCGTCGAGCTTCTTGATGCCTTGGGAGGGATGGGAGGATATGGGAGGGACAAGGCCCCATTAGGGCCGTGGGCCCTTTTCTCCTCCACAACCGCTCACCTCGCCCCGCCTCTTCACGAGCGGCCATGAAATGGCACGAACAAAAAATGAGCTCCGGCCACATTCAGTCAGGGTGCTGCTGATCGAGGAGGCTTTGGAACTCTTCATGCTGTTGCTCAAGGCGGTGGTGCAGCGAAACGACCTTCAACGGCTTGAAGGCTCTGCACACTGAGTCACTACAAGAGGAAGTCGGCTCGAGATTTTCAGCCAAAAATTACGAGTAAGAAGCCATGCCTGCTCCCTCTGCTCATCCAGCCGATTGCCCAAACCTGTCGTCTACTCGACGAGTGGCGAGTGCATCGGATCTAGGATGATTCTAGAGTCATCTTACCTTGCCCGACGTCCACAGCAAGTATTGGCAAACCATCCGACGGTGCCGAGCCAGCCGATTGCACCTTCCATTCCAACGAAGGCTTCAGAGCCGATTGAATCCCCCAGCCGGGCACCTGCAAGGCAAGGGCAACATTCGGGGCCGGCGGATATGGCCAGCTGTCAATCAGCACTCGTCAATAAAGCTGCTTCTGATTCTGCCAAAACCGGCATGTGCGTCTTGATGGATACTAACCACTGCCACAAAGCAGGACGATTCCGAACACAAGTAGCCCAGTGAGTGAAGTGAAGAGCATGCAGCAGCAATGCAGCATCACACTTACCTCCAAATCTGCAAGCAAGAGGCTCTCGTCCGGCGGGGGCGGCGGCAGAGGTGAAAGCCGGGCCTGAGACGCAACATACGCACACCGGCTGCAGTGGGCGGTGAGCTCCACCGCTTACGCAGTGACATCCACAAGGCTCCAGCCGATGCCCCCACATCGGATTGCTGTTGATGCCGGATCTCGCACCAGGCATCCGAAAAGCAAACGCAATGTTCAAGTATACATCAATAGACCTCGCGACAGCCTAAGTCTGCCCGAGGTAAGGGCCTGGAAAAGCTCTTGTCGCAGTCCGGCGATCTCCTGCCTTCGGGTTCTCAGTCCTACTTTTTGGTTGATCCTATGTAAAGTTGTCCGTCTTGAAACCCGAGAATCTGAAAGTTTGCCGTAGAGCTCGGCTCAGCAGTTCATTTCAAGCCGTGCATGTCAATCTGGCCGGGCTTGCTGCAACTGCACAGTCTCCTCACACACGGGCGGGTCAGGCGAAATGCAGGCTTGGCTGCGTCCGTCATATCAAGAAACCGTTCTGACTTCTCACTGCATGCGACGATGGTCCTCTGCATGTTTCGCTCGCTGCTCTGATAAATTCTGATGCAACCGCCTGGGTGGTGCATTCCAGGATTAAATCCGGATTGTCGTGAGACGATGCCAAGCCCTGCGCGCTGTGTCTTGCTGCTGCCTCTGCAAGTGTTCCTTCAGGGACAAGCAACATTGGCGCTATCATCCATGATCACGAAAGCTGATCGACCCTCGCATGGGTTCCTGTAGCACGTGCAGACACTCCCAGTATGTACTCCGAGCCCAGAAGACCAGCCTCTGTCTGGTCCAGGAGCTGTTGAAGGGTTTGCACGGACTCCTGTTGTGCTGTATGCCTCCCGTTGCCTGGTCCTGCCTCTGCCCTGCGCCTAGCTAGTAGGAACGCAACGAAAGTGACCCGGGGTCCTACATGCCTACAATCAGATTCCGAAGACTCGGTGAGGGCTCAGGCCCAAGCCTGCTTGAGGAAATTTCATCCAAGATCATCAGATCAAGGAAATTCTCAATCATTAGGCAAATGATGTCTTGAGCATGCACTGACAGGAGGTGTCTGGGAAAGCAGGGTACGAGTTGCGTGAGCGCCTGTGCCGCCTGTGAAATCTGCGCAACCTCTGCATCGTGCTCCGCGCGCAAGGCCTGCGATGCGGAGGCTGAAGGCCTTCGAAGCTCTGAAGCGGCCCTAAACAGGCCTGGCCTGGCGGAGTTTGGCCATGTCGCCCTCAGCCACTAAGCCCAGCTCCAGCTCGAGCTTCCGAACCTGCGGAGGCCCGTCAGGCGAGGCCGTCGAGGCTGCCGCGGGGCCACTTCGAGCCGGGCCTTGGCACGCTCCTCGGCCACGGCGCTCTCGCGGTCAGACATGGACTTCTGGAGGTCGGACTCCAAGACTGCGATCCTGGCTAGCCAGCTATCCCGTGCTTCAAGCGTCTTAACTGGTCTAGTGAGTCTAGTGCAAGTTGGACATATACATAAAGGCCACCCTTTGTCTGCACCATGCTGGCCTGGCGTCCCTTTCGGAAACTTTGCCTTGAATCTCCTCCAGAGCTTCGATGCTGATCTGGCGAGAGATCACGCTCTGCGACGGACTCTTCGCAAGCGCGCATACACAGTACATCCGGCATTGCCAAGGCCGCGCCTGCCCACGGCGGACAGCAGTCGCCGGGGCGGCACCCTGCGCCTTCCAGGTCCCAAGCGACACTATGCGACACTGAGATCACCGAGCCTTCCCCGGCCCATCCCGGCCCCGGCCTCGAGAACCTTGGCACGCCACTGCTGCTCCTGATTCGGCAAGTTTCGGCCGAAGGAGTTGGGCTTCGACAGTTCGTCAAGACTTCCGGAGCTGCCGATTACTACAGGGCTCCTGGTCAGCAAGCTTGGACTCTGCATTGGCAACCTCACGCTGAAGATTTTGAATCTCCTTCTCGTCCGCCTGAGGTTAGAAGGAAGAGCACAGCTTGGTTTTCCATAACAACACGCGTCCCACATACCGTCTGCCCCTGCCTGCCGTGCTTTCTCCAGCTGCTGGTGCTGTTCCTGACGTCGCTTGACTTTGACTGACGGCAGATGACTCTCTGCACGACACGGCTGTCTACGGACATGGGCGGTCGAGGTTGCTAATGCATGCTTACGATACCAGTCAGCAGGTCAGTAACTACGCTTGAGCTGCAAACAAACTGCTGGTATAATAATCAAAGTCGGAGTGGGTCTTTTGCTAAGTTTCGCATGTCTCCATTCCTGCAAAACGCTCCGCTGCATGTCATATGATGCGACGATGCCCCCAGCCCCATCGTGCTCCAGCCCACGAGAACCGTCGTCGGTCATGGGACTCGACCTGTGGAACCCTTACGACTGACCAAACCCCGTGACAGCGTGCCTTCGCGATTTCCAGGCTCCGCTTGTGTTGCAACTCCTGCGAAGTCTCACGACAGGGCATGACGCATGGCTATATTTCCGTGGCAGTACTGACCAAGTCGACCGCTGCAAACCAAGAAGCATAGAACAAGTGTGACTGTCGACACGCACGCAGTCGACGTGTCAGTGGGAACAGGTGTAGATTCATCGTAGATGCAGAAACCACAAGAAGCTACAGTGCTAGTTTCAGTAAGAAACGAAGCGAATGGACAACATAGACCATGTCCACTACTTCGAGTCTTCCTACTGGAGGTGACCTCTGCTACATCACTCTTATTCACTGACGTTCGCTCAAAAACTTTCGGACGGCAAGTCCTGCAGCTTGGAATCTGCTAGCTTCCTCGGTTGCAACATGCTACCGAGAAAGCGTAGAGAACTACACGTCCCTCCGTGAACTCAGGGCTGCTCAGTGGGGAAAGACACCTGGGTCCTAGGTGGGCTGTTGTAATCTGTAGCAGACTTTTGTTTCACATGTGGACTGCTGCACCACCTGGCAAGAACCTCACATCGAAACGCAACTCCTGCCCGAAAAGGCTGTTGGCAACGGTGCTTAATGCTCTCACGTCTCAAGGTGGATGCCGTGCTCACTAGATCGCCGCGCCTTAAACCCGAATGCTAACCTCAGCAAGGAAAAAGCTATACAGTATAGACCACAGACCACAAACCACAACGGAAACTCTCAAGAAAACCACTCTAAGTCTGATCATGATCCGATCGACCGATTTTGGCCCAGATCAGATCTAAACTCTCTTGCATTTCCTTTCAACCCAACCATACGCCCCGAGCCCTCGCAACACTAGTCTACAACGCTGAACCCTCTCTGCTCCCAGGCACTTGGCCATCTCCAGGAGACGCTGCCTCGGCGCCTCTGAATCTGGGTCTAGCGCCTGTGCCGGCAACTCCGGTTCGATCCGGGAGGTTAGTTATTTTATCGTGATATGTTCGTACACGGCAGTTACTGCAACAAGGTGTGAAAACATAATGATGCAGACAATGCAGACTCTGGTATTTTTCTTCTAACCAATCTAACCGTTCTACCCGGTTATCATGACCCCAACCAGCTGTCAAGAGACTACCAAGGCTCCTGCAACAACTGCTGCTGCTACTACTACGACGACGACGACGACGACTACTGCTGCTACTACTACTACTACTACTACTACTACTGCTCCTCCAAGCTAGACTTATCGCTCGCACTGGGCGCCTTCAGCTCCATCAGCAGCTCCTGAGCCTGTTGCGCTCGCAGCCGGCAGGAGTCCGTCTCGGCCTTCAAGGACGGAATAGTGGTCGCCCTGTGTCTGATCGAGTTCTCCGAGTCTCCAAGGAAGGCATCTGGGCCTGATTTCGGAGCAGCTCCAAGCGGACTTTCGACAGGCGCTCCTGGCGAGACAGGGCTCTGAGATGTTTCTTTGGCCAGCGCAATACTCTTTGTAATGCCGCTATCAGAGCATCATCTTTCATCCTGCAGCCTGTGTGAGCGGCTCATGTCGGCTCTATACATACGTGTGCACTGACTCCCACTACTACTCTTGCAGCTACTACTTACTATGACTATGTTGTTGACTGCTGTAGGTAGGCTACTCTGAAACAATCTCCTCGAGCTCCATCTTGCGGCTGGAGATCTCCTCAAGACGCGAGGTCAGCTGCCTTGCCTGCGAGCCGTTTCGTGTCTTCAACAACTATCTTTGCAAGCAGTGCAATGTAGCACACTCGTGTTAGTACTCAGAACAACAACTAGCAGGAGCAGTGGTAGTAGTACAGTAGTGGTAGTGGCAGAGGTAGCACGACAAGGACGGCGACGGACAAGCAGCAACAATGACAACAAGCAAACGAGTCTAAACACTTATGACAAGCAATGGATGCAGCGCGAACATAGTCATAGACTTGCTCAGCATAGCAGAAAGAGTTGTTCTCTTGGTCAATACTGCTGCTGGCAACAATGATGCTAACTCCGTGAAGCAAAGCACTTGCTAACTCGCAGCGACTGGTATTTCCTTAGCTGATATGTGGCGACTACCGATCTTGTGCGTCTAAGCCAAGCCTTGTCCACCGGCATCGCAGCCGCACTCTGCTCCGCGAGCTGCGCAGCCTCTCGAGATCTGAATGCTGCTCAAGCCTCTCAAAGCACCGGCCACACAACGATCGTTGACGCCTGTGCAGATGCCTCGGTCAGCCGATGCCGCAGGTGCTCCTGACAGCACGAAGCGAAGCTGCTGAGATGTCCCAGGGACAGCTGTGGCGCTTTGCTCCTCAGTATGGTCGTGCTCCTGCCGCTCCTGTTCGACCTCAGCATGCACTAGCTCACCAGGATGATTGGTATGGGTGGTGCGTCGTAGTAGTGGTAGCAGCAGCAGCAGCAGCAGTTGGAGTAGTAGTAGTAGTAGTAGTAGTAGTAGTACGGCATCCCCCCCCGGTGC